TATAAATGATACCTTATGACGTAAGTTATAAGTGATATATTATTACTGTATGTTAGGTTGAGTCTACTTTTCGAAGACAATTTGCAAATTATGTATGTGCGTACGCGATATCTAAGAAAAGGTTATCATATCATCACCATTTTTCAGATATTCGAGATAAACGGTCAAACATTTGTGCCATGTTCATCATCCACGGCAAATAGGTGAAAAATAAAATAAATCGCAAATATATTTGTTGCTAAATATATTACTTGGATAAACGCCAAAAAACGAAACCTCCGTTTTGAAATTTGGGATAATATGTTAGTAAAGTAACATAAAGTTTAAATAGTAAGATATAAGGATAATTCAAATGTGTTGTTGTAAAACGTTTTAAATTAAAAATTCTTACAAATTAAAAATACAAACCTTATCGCGTCGGAGAAATACACCCCTTGCAAACACAGGCATACTTCAAGGGGATTTCAGAGTAACGTCCACCGAAATTCAAACTCAACTCAAGAAGATACCAGAATATAATCCAGGAGATACCAGAGCACAGTCCACTGTCCAGGAGATATGAGAAAACGAGCTCAACAAGACCAAGCGATGGAAGCAGCAAATTAGAGCAATGAAGAGTCGGTGTAAATACTAGGTTATATACTAGGTTATATAGTCTGTTTAATGTTTATCAGGTCTATAGAATACAAGTTAGTGCTGATATGGGTTAATTTTAGTCGGTTTTTATAGACTAAACCTAATAAATGCCTGATTCTACGTCACCTGCAGTAATCCTCAATACTAGGTCGCACGATGCTCTTCCAAACTAAGAGTCATGGTTTGTGCACGTGAATCATGGTTTGTGCACGTGAATCAAGGTTCGTGCACGTGAGTCTTGGTTTGTGCACGTGAGTCATGGTTTGTGCACGTGAGTCTTGGTTTGTGCACGTGAATCATGGTTTTTGCACGTGAGTCATGGTTTGTGCACGTGAGTCATGCTTCGTGCACCTAACTCATGGTTTGTGCACGTGAGTCATGGTTTGTGCACGTGAGTCTTGGTTTGTGTACGTGAATCATGGTTTGTGCACGTGAGTCATGGTTTGTGCACGTGAATCAAGGTTTGTGCACGTGAGTCTTGGTTTGTGCACGTGAGTCATGGTTTGTGCACGTGAGTCATGCTTCGTGCACGTGAATCATGGTTTGTGCACGTAAGTCATGGTTTGTGCACGTGAGTCATGGTTTTTGCACGTGAATCATGGTTTGTGCACGTGAATCATGGTTTTTGCACGTGAATCATGGTTTGTGCACGTGAGTTATGCTTCGTGCACGTGAATCATGGTTTGTGCACGTGAGTCATGGTTTGTGCACGTGAAAGATCGCTGAACTAATGGAAAAGATCGTTGAACTAATGGAATTTTGATTTAATATGTTTGATAAACTCGTTTTACTATTAAACAGATGTAAAGTGCGAACAAACCGTTCTACTGGACATAACAATCATATCCATAACACGCTAAATGTTATTCATGGTCTTATACGCAGTAAAAACATCAGAGCAAAGGTTAGAAACTGATAATAGAACTAGTCGTTTCGCACGTAACTACAGCACGGATAGCTTCATAACTAATTAATTAGTATTCATTATATTTTATAGGTCCTGTTCCGGGCTCAATTAATAGCGTAACCACAAACTCGACTTTTTTAACGCGTAGTTAAAATAAATATTTATAAAAAGCACGATACATTTAGAAGCAGGGAGACATATTTTGAGCATGCCACACATACATATAGATGATTAGATCAATAATTACTCCGTGAGAACTCACCAGAATATTAACCAGGTCCGTTAATGATGAAATGTTGAACAAGTCCCAAAACCCAAAAGTAGACATCCTGACAACTATACCAGCAGTCCGGTCAGTAAGTTTGTAAAATTACATAAGTGTAATAAACAAGAATTGCGCCGGTTAGCGGACGCTAAATTTTCATCAACCGTAAAGTAGGGATCATTGCCATGCCTTTTAAAATTTAAAATTACAATTAACGATCGTTTCATGTTGTTCAAAATATCAAATAATGGTTCTTTATTCATCATTCTTGGGGCGCTACGGAGCACAAAATCAAAAATGGAGGGGTCGCCATTGTCAATTATTCAAATTTAAAAAGTTAAATGACATTTATGATCCATTTATGATCCATTTCGTATAACAAATCAATCACTCGACAATCATGTTCAACATAATATTAGCATCACAATTTGTTCAAAAGTATAATATATAAGTAGACATCCTGACAACTATACCAGCAGTCTGGTCAGTAAGTTTGTAAAATTACATAAGTGTAATAAAAAATTATATTAATGTAATTATCTAATTTAAATTATATAATTGGTTACGAGGCAATAATATTCGGACACTAGCCTGAAGAACCGAACGAGTAACAACACCCATCAAAAGACTGGAATCAAAGTTCTCGAAAGTTGGGGACCGGACAAAGGCAGACAAAACTAAATATGTAATTTTGCGACGGATTGGACCTGACAGTGCTTGTGGTGGCAAGTAGCAACAAACATTGTCACCATCCAATCAGCAGTCTTCCTGAAACACACCAACCAATCAGAGATCTGCTGTAAGATGACGTCATCAAATACTGCCCAAGTAGTATAGGTGTTAATACAATTACCACAAAAATACTCTCCTCTCACGTGACACAAACAAACCAATCAGAGAGCTGTTCCTAATCAATGATGGTTTTCACCAATAGTTCACGGACCACCACTAATAGCAGCAGTTGCGGTTCAAGGTATGAAATTCAAAAATATAACCTTCAAAGAAGAGTTACATGTGTCATGTTTACAAAGTGAGATCGCTGTGCTAAAGGTGGGGTAGCAGGTAAGAGAAACAAAGTTGGGCATTCAGTAGTCAGTAGGTGGAACAAACACTGAAATACAAGGAGTTCGCCTTAAATGGATTAGAATGAGAAAGTATAACAAATGTGACGTCATGATCAATCGTGTGACGTCACATCACTTGATATGACGTCACACCACGTGGCATCATGTCACATGACCAATATGTGTACGGTGCATCAAGAAAATGACGAACTTCTCGGAGTAGGCAGAATATCAATTTATTAGGCGAGTGTACTATGACAAGTTGTCAACGGCAGGTAATATCAGGCAGTATTATAGCTACTATCTGCTACCTACTACTATCCGTAATCAGGTTACTTATACTGTATTCTTATCAAGGCAAGATTACGGAGTAACACACAGCAATTAAGGAAGATATCGAGAGTTGGAACGTAGTAGAGCACTTCCACCAGCCCGAAGAACCTGGCACGTGATTGGACAGGAAGATGATTGGACGTAGTAATTGTGTGCACATACAGCTCAATAGTACGGCTGAGCGTATGAAAATTAAAACCTGCACAACTTATTAGAATATTGAGCTCTTGCATTCTTCATCACGTAGATTGTGTGTGTGGGACTAGTTCGACAGAACAGCAGCGAGCTACAAACACTATGAAGGCTAAACAAAGTGAGCTATAAACTCTATCAACTCTATCAACTCTATGAAACACTATTATATAATATTATATATAAACACAGCTATTATATATAAACACAGCGAGCTATAAAACTAACGGGCTAACACCAGTTGTAACACGCAAGATCAGTACAAACCATACTACAATCTTGTAGAGTTAAGAGTACGTGCTATATTACCTTGGTGAACAATTTAGCGTACAAAGTTACAAGTACAACAAGTAAGAAAGTAAGAAATATCTTATATCACGTAACTCAACTGCAGTCTTTGCACCTGGTAGATTGGAAATGAAAAGTCAGGAAGTCGAGTGGAGGTGAAGCTGTAAAGCTTTTAGGATATTAAATACGAATACGTAGTGCGCATACGTAGTTAACGACCAACTGAAAATGTGTCACTAGGAGTTATCAGCCCCAAACTACAATCACAGTCACTGACCGATCACAGATCTGTAAAGTAATCACGTGATACCAACTAGCCAATCAGAGAGCTGTATTGTAGTCACATGACAGGTGTACGACCGACAAAGTGTGTTACAAAGTACATCCCCGGACCTAGACACACACTGATACAGTACTGTAGTACTCACGTCACCGGTACAAGACACTACTAACACTTTCAAGTAACACTCTCTTGCAGTTCCAATACTCTCATTAGTACTGGAACTTAGACTATATTTTCATTTTGATATAGTCAGTGTTCTGCAGTTACTGACTATATCAATATGAACACAACTGTAGCTGTAGTTATGAGTTAGGGTGTCTGAACTAATTTAGCCCAAAGTATCTGCACTAACAGCTATGGACCAAATGGAAGCTCACAAATCAAGGAGAATTGTTGTCCTGATTACAAAAATTACCGCAACAAGTCCAGAGGTGAGACTTGGGATGACATGTTTGTGAGAAGTCTTAAAGGAAATTAACCTTTAATAACTTAACAGGGGTTACCTAATAGGACAACTCACATCTTAAATCTAATGAACGTTAAGTTGGATTAATTACAAGTTCATGGCAATAGTATTTATATTGCATGTGGGAAATAGTGTTTATGAAGGAGTAGTAGCGACAAATGAGCGAGCTCCGTGCAGTCGAATGATGGGAAATGCTGAACGGTTTGCAAAATCACAGCTTCCTTTGATACTGTTCATATTGGATAATGGATATTCTTGACAAATTCCCCGAGGAGGGGATTGCGTTTTCGTCATTTTCGCCATTAAATTTAAATGTTCGGAACACAAATTCCTAAATTATTTTACCACCTGCAAATGATCTCTGTACGCCATTTTAGCCATTGCCGGGGAGCTAACAACTACAAGGTATGCAGCAACGTGCACATATCAAAACTTTAATCAAAGATTGATCTGCCGGCATGGAGCCTGCAATTTCATGTCAATAAGTTGATAACAATGATGAGTATGAAAATGAACGCAACGTTACATCGAGCGTATAAAATGATGAAAACAATGCAGAGACTTACCGGTCTTGTGTAGGAACTGGGAGCTGAAAATAAGAAAGTTAGTTGACAACCACGTGACACAAACTAACCAATCAGAGAGCTGCATTTGATCAGTCTCCTAACAGAAACTCACCTCTCAGAGGGATGCTGTCTCAGGTCGTAAAAAAGTTAGGTAGTATATTCACTGGGAGACTTTGGGGCCGAAAACTGATCCGGCCCCCAAAGAGGAGTCAGATCACGTCACCAATTAGTGACGTATAATTAGTGATGTGATCCATCTGTAGAATTTAATTGGCCCAGAAATAGGCTAGATACTGGGTAGAGTTCACATGTCAATTCTGTACAACATAGCTGTTCATTAAGAAGTAAACATGATCTGACTGCTCGACTCGTAGATCACATAAGGGACGGGAGCTCTTGCTAAAGGGGGGTTCTCGTATCAAGGGATGTGAGACGTACGTGTCAAAGGCTTGCAAGGGGAGTGAGCCGATCTAGTGTTCTAGGTATAAATATTGGGTGATAGAAGGTAGTAGTATCGCATTTAATTCTATCAACAGTCATGCCTACCTTCTCCAAGTTCCTCAACGGTTTCAGAGGATGTAAACAGGTGCTTGATTCTGACGGATATATCTACAGCCGCAAGAAAAATGATGACACCGTCCTCTCCTCTGCTTGGCGTTGCCAGAAGAACAAATCCCTTAAATGTCCTGCCAAGTGCTATCTCGCTCTCACAGACAACAATCTTTCCCTTGGAAGTAAACCACACAACCACGATTCAGATCTGGCTACCCCACAGAGACTCGAACTCCTTCTCTTGAATTCGTTCTTCCTCCCAGCTGCACATCTACGAGAAGAGACGAACCATTTATCCTCTTTGATGGGAAGACTGACCGAGATGTGAGAATCATAGCCTTCGCCACCAACAGGAACCTTCACACCCTCGCAGAATACAACAATTGGATTGCTGACGGGACATTTTATGTCGCTCCGAAGATATTTCCCCAAATTTGTAGCTTCTGTGTGCAGAGTTGTCATATGAACTTTACCCCAGATCTAGCCCATTTCTAGGTCAATTATATTCAATCCATGGATCACATCACTAATTATACGCCACAAGCTTCAAGCTTGCATGTTAATTACTTGATGACGTATATGGTGGATCATATCACTTCGGCCCCAAAGTCTGGCAGCCAGTATATTATAAGGTTGCGAAAATTTCTGGAACTCTAATCGGAACCTGATATAGCTCGAAGAAAGATAGATATTGTCTATCTGGATATTTCAATAGTGTTCTAGACACTGTTTTGTCAGTAAGATAAGAAGACAGCTGCTGAGTTAGTCCAATAGCAAGAGAGTATCAGAATGAAGCATCAACTATAGCAGACACCTGATGTGCTCTTATGGAATAGCAGTTACTGAAACTAGTTTCAGCCTGCTTCAGTTTCAAAACTAGTTTCAGCCTGCTTCAGTTTCAACAGTTTCAACACTAGTTTCAAAAGTTTCACACTCATCGGCTACTAACTAAATTTACTGAATATTATCATCAGCCCTCCTTATCACTACAGATCTGCATGTGTCTTATCTAAAGAGTAAGATTAAGACTAAAAGGGTTTACTTACGGGAGTTGTAAGAGTCACTGTTGTGAGCGGTAGAGAGCTTCCGACCCAAACTGCTCTGAAATAAGAAATATTTAAACTTAGTGTTCTTCCCAAACTACTCGGAAATTAAGAGATTTCTAATCCTAGCTACTGCAGTGAAATTGTGGCCGTGGGAACCTCCGTTTAAGTGATCCGTTCTCATTGTGTTGAGGTCAGGACAAACGTTGCACAAGAAACTCTAACTAACAAATCATCATAAATACAGAGATAGATCATACAGCTATTTTCTTAAAATATCATGTTGTAGAATAAAGAGTCCATTAACTGGACCACTTGGTTCAACAACTCTAAATTCTACATTCTAAATTCTACAGTCTACATTTTATAACAAATTATCACGAACTAAAACCTAGACAGTGAAATAAGAGTAGAACCAACAAAAAGCTGGATAATTATGTGTATAATTATGGATAATTATGCGTATAACTATAAAACTATTCACCAGGTTGCCCTTGATGTTATCGAGGGTATAGCTGGGAGGTGCCACGTTCTTAGCCAGGGTAAAGTCTGGCACTGACCTCCTTGAGCTCATCTCTGAGAAACCGTCCTCTGAAGTTGCAGATAATGTTAACCACCATTGGTGGTGGTGAGAAAATAAACAAGTCATAAAATCTAATACCAACCTAAATTCGGGAATGCTGTTTGCCGCCTCGAACCACTAAATATTAACATCTTCAATTAACTAAATCATGAGACAACGGGTCCTTCTCCTCGTACAACAACATGAATCCCGCCTCCTGGGACCCAAAGTTCTCGTATCTGAATCATAGGACTTAAAGTTAAAGTTACCTGAGCCGTAAGACTCCGAGTCACTGCTATGTTCAGACTGGTTAACCTTTTTCCTTGTGTGACTCTGCTCTGCTCCCATCACCTTTATCACCTGATCTTATCAGATATACTCTTACTACCAAGCTCTTATCACCAAGTTCTTATCACCAATTTCACAGTTATTAAGACTTCTAGATCAGCTTAATTTTATCTCTTATCAGTTCTTTAGTTTAAACAGCTGCTGAGAAGAATTTTGGATGATTTTTGATACACTTAAAGGAGAAAATGCTATTCAATAACCAAAATTAGACGTTCAAGTCTATACCAAAGTCTCTACCGAATCAATAAAAATCCGAATCAACTAATGATCAACTTGAACTATAACACACATTACGCCGGCACGAACAGGGATTATATTTCAATATAATGATAATAATTTCGAGTGCGAAGCACGAAGGATTATTATGAAAATAACGCGGACGTGCTTTACTCGCCTTTAGCACGAGGGGTTATTTTGATATAACCTTGAGCGTGCTGGTGTTTTGTTTTATAAACACCTCCGGGGTGTTGCTAAGTGCTAAGTGCTAGGGCTAATTCGTTTTAATATTTACCTTTCATTCTAATATGAGACCAGTAATATTAAATAGAATTGGGACCTATATTATAGTTATACTACTAGATAAATAAAACTAAGGACCGAAGGACGTATTGGGGTCGTTCACATATTACGTAATCAGCCGAGGGGGGGTTTCAAATGCTTACGGTTGATTACGGGGGGGGGGGGGGGGGGGTTTGGTCGTTGATTAATTTTAATTTTTTACCGATTTTCGAAATACCAATTGGACAATTTTAGTTAATTAATGTAATCAAAATTTTCTTTTTTAAACGATTTATTTGAGATATTACAAAAATCTTTTCAAGTCTCAGACAGCAATGAATAATGTGTATTTCTTGTATCTCTACAAGTACATCAATATTTAACTCAAAAATGGGGGCCGGGGGTGTCTAATCTTGATTACGTAATATAGGAGGGGGGTCGGGTCTTTATTACGGGGGGGGGGATGGTCAAACCTTGATTACGTAATATAGGGGGGTTCGGTCTTGATTACGGAGGGGGGGGGGTAAAAATTGCCAAAATATTGATTACGTAATATGGGGTCGTTCACATATTACGTAATCAGCCGACGGGGGGGGGGGGGGGGGGTTCAAATACTTACGGTTGATTACGGGGGGGGGGGGGGGTTTGGTCGTTGATTACGTAATCAAAATTTTAATTTTTTACCGATTTTCGAAATACCAATTGGACAATTTTCGTTAATTATGTAATCAAAATTTTCGTTTTTTAAACCAATTTTCGTTTAGTAAGTGCTTTGCGATTATTTCATTCATTAATCCGTTGTGATACATGATAGCTTTTAATAAATAAAATGGGGGGTGTCTAATCTTGATTACGTAATGTAGGAGGGGGTTGGGTCTTGATTACGGGCGGGGGGGTCAAACCTTGATTACGTAATATAGGGGGGGGGAGGGGGTTCGGTCTTAATCAGGGTTGATTACGGAGGGGGGCCGGGGGGTAAAAATTGCCAAAATATTGATTACGTAATATGTGAACGACCCCTATGTGAACGACCCCTAATATGTTATAGAAGCTGTACCGGGCCGCCGGGGTTATTAATATTAATATTCATATTGTTTTGTGTTTATCGAGCGGGAAAAAACTAACACTAACAGCGGGAGCTAGGATTATCAGAATCTACCCAGATCCTGCCCGCCCGGCTAATTATTCATTTTCAACCCGGAGGTCAGTGGCGTAACTAAGGGCCCCGCGCGCCGACGCCAAATGATCGTCGTTTGAATGTGGGACAATTTGGAAAAAGTTAACTACGGTACTAGCAAAACTGCGCGTTTTGCTCTAGAAACATACCGGCATATCCTCTAAAATCATTTAATCTGTCCAATTTTAAGGAGGGGCGCGCCAACAGGGGTCGCTTTTTCAGCGGGGGGGGGGGGGGGGGGGGGGCTCCAACAGACAACATTACGCCACTGTGCACTGCCGGAGGTGTTTATAAAGCAATAGTGATACTATCTAAATTACAGCCGACTAAGTTGTGTTCACAATTGCATTTGCAGTACAGTCAATCGAATCTAAACCGATATTCTTGATCACGAATAGAAAAAAAAGAGGCCTGGTTATTTAAAACGATAGCTCAGTAAACCGGAACCTGTTAATCTACTAAATAAAATAACATTAAAAAAGTATAAATATAAAATAGTAACAGTGTAGTGGGTTTGCAGAAGCAGAAAAATAAGATCAGTAGGTCTAAATGCTAAACTGAAATTAAACTTGTTGACTCCGACTAGAAGGGAGTTTAAAGATGTGGTTTAAAGATGTGGTAAACAGAGAGAGAGAGAGAGAGAGAGAGAGAGAGTGGTAAACTTTGTACCGTGCTTATGATTAAGAAGTTAAACCACCAAACAAGACATTCTAACCTCTAGTAACTGTAAAGTGTTTAGCAGGGTCTACATTTACAAATCTGAATATCACTGTCACGTTTCAAAACAAATGTGATTTTTATTTTCCTTGTAGGTTTACAACCTACCAGGACGCGCGC